AACTCCTGGGCTCAAATGATCCACCCGCCTCGGTCTCCCAGAGTGCTAGGATTACAGGCGTGAGCCACCGCGCCCGGCCTTGATGACCTTTTAAGTTGCTTTCGGTAACAAGAAAACAAAGCTACAATGAACAGCCTTGTATCTGCCTCCTCTTATATATTTGGGAGTGCTTAATTCCAATGAGATTTGGAATTACTGAATCATAGGGCATGCACATTTACAATTTTGAAATACAGTAGTCCCTCTTTATCTGTGGTTTTGCTTTCCACGGTTTCGGTTACCCAGGGTCAACTGAGGTCTGAAAATAGGTGAATACAATACAGTAAGATATTTTGAGAGAGACAGACAACATTCATGTAACTTTTATTACAGCATATTATAATTTTTATGTTATTAGCTATTGTTAATTACTGTGCCTAATTTATAAATTACAGGTATGTATGTATAGGAAAAAACATACAGGGTTTGATACTGTCCATGATTTCAAGTTTGCACTGGAGAAAAGGGGGGAGTATTGTATATTGCCAAATTGCCCTTCAAGATAACTATAACCATTTATACTTTAACATTGGTATGTGAGAGTGGGTACCTGTTTGTCCCATTCTTACCAATTTTTAGTGGTAGCTAACTTTTTTTGACCAATCGATGAGAGGAGGGGGTCTTGGTAGCTAATGGTTTTAATTTGTATTTCCTTGACAAGTGAGGTTGAATGTCTTTTTGGATGTCTATTGGCAAATTCTGTATTTTTTTCTTCTCTGAGTTTTCTGCTAATATCCTTCAACCCGTATTCTTCTCACTTGTTAGTGACATGTAGGCAGTATATACTACTTTCTACTTTTTTTTTAAACTGGGTAGTCTGTTCTCATTAGAATCAACCAATAATTGATGCTACCATTTATTAAGGAAGCAGAACTAGTCTCTAAGGATTTCTCATTTTACCAGTACCCAGTTTCATACTGGTTTTGAATGTTGATGGCAGTTAGTCTTTATAGAGGTCAAACTGGCTTCATTCTTAATTGTCCATGTGGAAATCTGCCAGAGCTAATCATAATATGAAGGAAGGCAAAGCATCTAATAGTTATTTGTTTTTTTGTTTTTTTTTTGAGACAGAGTCTCACTGTGTTGCCCCGGCTAGAGCGCCGTGGCGTCAGCCTAGCTCACAGCAACCTCAAACTCCTGGGCTCAAGC